CCCCAAAACCCCAAAACCCCAAAACCCCAAAACCCCATTGATTTTTTATGGGTGATAGAGAAGTCTTGATTTAGTCTTTCAAAATTAGAAAATTTATATTTTAAAAAATCAGAGAATAAGTCTGAAATAAGAAAGGATATTAATGATATTGTAATTATTTAATTTTGTAGAACAGATCCACCATCAAAGTCATGGAATAGAGTAGTGCAAGAACTAAGCCTCATCTCAATGTGGGAACTATAGGTAAGATAACCTCAAACCACTCCGCTCATATTTATATCAATAATAAAATAGGCCACCTTGGGGATGGTAAAACAACTTTGACAGCAGCCATTACGAAATATCTTTCAAGCAGAGGTAACAAATACACATAAATTTTTCTAACTTTTGCTTTTAGGTAGCACCTAATTCAAGGACATTCAGGATATCGATAAGACCAAAGAGGAGAAGGCCAAAGGTATCTCAATCAATGCTACTAGAATCGAATATGAGTCAGAAAGTAGACATTATGCTCATGTGGATTGCCCAGGTCATGATCATTACCTTAAGAATATGTTTACTGGTGCATCCGGAATGGATTGTGCCATCTTGGTTGTTTCTGCAGCCGATGGTGTCAGGGCTCAAACTAGAGAGCACGTTCTGCTTAGCAGACAAGCAGGTGTTGATAAAATTGTAGTATTTATCAATAAACTTGACGGAACTGATCCAGACATGGCAGAACTTATTGAACTGAACATCAGAGAACTTCTCACAAGCTATAAATATGATGGTGATAATGCCCCAGTCATCAGGGGTAGTGCTCTCTCTGCCTTGAATGGATCTGATCCAGAGCTTGGAGAAAAAGCCATCGAGAGACTTCTTGAAGTTCTAGACAATAACATTCAGATTCCAGATAGAGATTTGGACAAGCCCTTCCTCATGTCGATTTCTAGAAGCTACAACATCCCGGGAAGAGGTACTGTTGTTACTGGAACTATCAAGCGTGGTAGATGCCAAGTCAATGATTAACTAGAAGTGACTGGATTAAACAGAACTAACCATCAAACCACTGTTCTTAGTATTGAATCCTTCAACAAGCTCTTGGACTTTGGTTAGGCAGGAGATTATGTTGGAATCCTACTTAGTGATGTAACCAAGGAGCAGGTTAGAAGAGGTAAGAGCCTCTCATAGCCAGGCTCAGTTGGTGTCAGAAGAAATTTCGAAGCTGAGATGTATGTGTTGAGGTCAGATGAGGGTGGAAGGAAAACAGGTTTCGTAACTGGATATAGACCACAAGCCTACTTAGCAACCTCTGATGTCGAAGTCCGTTTCGAACTCCGCGAAGGAGTTGAGAATGTTCTCCCTGGAGATAATGTCTCTTGCAAACTGAAGCTCAGATTCCCACTTCCACTTGAGTAGTCTCAGAGATTCGCTCTTAGAGAGGGTGGTAAGATTGTTGCTGCTGGAATTATCACTAACTGCTTAGAAGATTCTGAAGAAGATCTTAAGGAAGGAGTTGAGAAAAGGGTCAAGAAAAAGAAGAAGACCCAATGATTATATTTGTTAGATTTAAAAACTCATACAACATAAATTTCATATTATCATTAAAGTTCATTAATTTAATGCATATCTACTTATGAAAGTTAAATTAGATAAATAGTTTTTATAATGGTTAAATTTTATATCAACTTTAGCATTTAATCTCAGTTTCTACAACCCTGAATATTTTTTACTACTTTTTTTCAAAAGCTAGATAAACATCTATTTTTAACTGTAATAAGCAGAGTAGAATTCCCATTGATAAAATAACTTTTAGAATCTTAAGCTGTTTAGCATCTTACATGAGTAGTTTAAATAATTTTTTCTCCATTCTTTGTTTTATTATCTCTTATAGTTAAACCTCAATATAATTTCCTCGATTACGTCATTCAATTTTGTAGAAGCTCTTCATTAGAAATAATCGAATTTGCTCTATGATTTTCATAGTCTTGAGTTATTCTTGCTGGTTAAAATTTTTGAAATGCAATCAAATACTATTTGTCATATCATCATTTTATTTGTGATTTTCATTCCAATTAAAATTTTATTAAGGGAATTGATAATCCCTCCCGAGTACTAGGTTTATGGACTTCGTCATTCTTATTATTTGGAGAATTTTATATTTAACTCTTCCTCTTTAGGGTTGATTTCGATTGTAATTGGGCATTTAAGAAGTTTTAGCACTTCTAATTTAATTATAAATTGTGAAATCGGATTACCGATGGCTAGTAATATATTCTTAATTTGGGGAATCATTTTCCTACTGCCTTATCTGCTATCATAATTCAAAGCTTCAATAAATCTCTAATGCTTCTCATTAGAAAGCGTTTTCCTCGTCAAAAGTGTATTTTAATGACTAATTTTTTTGCTTATTGGATGTGCCGCGATTATCATATCCTTATATTCCTTCTTCATAAGAACTAATTTCATTATCAAATTGGAAAATTTACCTCTAAATAATAATTTAAGTACTGAGGACTTAAGGATATTTGATTAATAATTATAGTCATTTTTCAACTCTCAGTGATTATTAAGCTTTCGATAATCTTAACAAACTATTTTTAGAGTAACAATAGCTGAAGTGTAATGTAAGTTTTTGCTCTCGAAAATAAATTAAGGAATAATTTACTGATAAAAAAATTACATTAAAAGTTTAGATAGCATGCTCTTAAATCGCAATATAGTTAGAATTATGACCGTAATATTATCAATAGCCTTCATAATGTGGCATATTAAAAAATCAAAAAAATCTTAGCATATTTTCAATTGGCCTAGAGTAAATGGTGAAATAATCATCGTATTTTTAAAACATTTAATTGAATTAAAAACTGAAGATGAAACTGTGGTAAGTAGCTTTAATAAACTTAAAATTGAGACTTTGAGATATAAGAATATTTATCTTAGATTAGAAATACTCTTAAAATTATTCTTCTCATTTTCAGCATTAATACAATGTTTTATTATTGATTTTGAGACTCATTTTTAATCATTATTACTAAATCAAAATTCAGCTACCTCTCGGGGTTTTGGGGTTTTGGGGTTTTGGGG